CGTCTCTCTCTCTCTCTCTCTCTCTCTCTCTCTCTATATATATATATATATATATATATATATATATATATATATATATATATACATATATACATATATACTGAAGAACTCAATCTTCACTTCGAGATTAAGCAAAAAAGAAGCACCAAAAGGGAGCAAGTGTGAGAGAAGATAAGTATCTATTGGAAATATATTCTAAATTAGGAAAGTTACAGCTTCCTATATGCTACCTTACCTCCGCTCACACAATAGCTAGAATCCCATATTGACCTGGTGCAAAACACCTAGATGAGCACCTTTTGGAAAGCATCCTAAGAAAGCCACATCTCTCTGTAGAGGAACACACCTATGGGAGCCTGCACCACATCTTCTGAACCAGGTATGCTCTTTGCCCATTGTGAAAAAAAATGTGTTGTTAAATCGGTTGGAAAAGGAACATACCCACAAGCAATTGGACACGCCAAATGGTGTAGATTGGCTAGGGTGCATCAGGACACAATCAGTGGGTGAAATCCACTGAAAAACCAGACGGCAACAGGTATTTGTGTTCCTGCACCTCGTAGGAGGAAGGTCCTAACTGTTTTTACCTCAAGCTTAGGAAATAGAAGGGAAAAATAACTTCCATTCCATCTACCCAAGCAGGGCATGTGTGCAAACCCAGTACACAACCAAAACTAGGCCACCTGGGTACTAACATCTAAGTGATGATTGGAAGGAGGAATACAATGAGGTGGTTTGCTCAAATCCAAAACCAAGCACCATTGGGAATTTGTCATCCAGTCTGTGGTAGGACAAGGGCTCCCTACCAGCCACGTGTGAGGACTGTTGACTGGTCCAGCTCTAATCCAACACCAGACCACCCGGGAACTGACATCTGGGTGGTGGTAGGACGAAGGGTCCCAGCTGGAGAGGTAAATTGCATTTTGGTGGATCATCTCTAGTCCATAACCAGACAGTGTCAGATATTGTACATATGATCCATGGAAGAACAAAGGTTAACACCATCAACATTGACAGACCACTACTGCTTTACTCTCCACTGAATGGGATTGAGCACACTCAGCAGTATTCCTCCATGGGCCACCAACCACAGCAGCTTGGAGTTAGTAAGTGGTAAGGACTTACAAAGTTCACTCAAAGAGAGATGGGGACAACAAGCTGGGGAGTCCAGAGGAATGCAACACTGGAAAAAGTGCAATTGTTGACAACAAATCCCTATTTTTTAAAGCAGGCTGGTCCTGATTTATTCAACCAGGATCAGAGGGATGAGCAGCTATCTCAACACTGCTTTAATCAAGATAGTCCATGAATTGGTACTTCTGGGGTGGACATAGTTTTGACGCAAATCACCACGAGGAAGAACCTACTAGTAGTCTTGTGGAACACCCCATCTCAACAGTGGGCATTATAGACTGGAACAGCTGTAAAGTGTAGATTTATGAATTAATGTATTTGGACAGGCACCACTTGCCACAGAGCAGGATCCAACATGCAAGTTAGTGACCCTGAAAAGGAAATAAAGAAATATTACCTTACTCACTCACAACTGAACCAAGGTGTGGAGAAGGGCAACAAGTGGTATTCGGTATCCAGATGAGAAGGAGATGGCCATATGATGAAGGTAACAGGAGATTAATGTACTAGGTCTGGTCCACATGCCAGCTCGAATGATTTCCTCGAATGGATGATGGTAATGGTCAACCAAGGAAATGATAGATCCAATGATAGGACACTCAGAAAAGATGAGAATCAGAAGACAAGGAAGAATAAGCCAATTTGATAAGCTGGTACATTTATCCCATAAGTGAATTAGAAGAAATATCACAGAGAGAGAGGGAGAGAGGAAGGGTTACAATGGATGGATAAACAAATGGGGATGGGAACCATGGAAAAAAGCTATGCTAGCAATACAAAACACTGAAGAGCACAAACAGAACAAAGGAGATAACCCAGATTGGATCAGGAATATAAATGGAAAATGGAAGGAAGGGAAATAGCATGAATGTGACGTTACCTTTACAAGCTGCCAACATCTTGGTAAAAAAAACAAACTGATCTGGATACAGAAGAACATAGGTATGGTGATAAAGAACACAATACATCGATGAAACCACAGGCAAAAATAAGCAAAATATAGGTATTGAGAGATAAATGGTACAAGGAACAGGTGCCCAATGGTTCAAAAGGATGTAGGGTAAAAGCATGGAGAACCACAGTGAGGTCCCAATCAGGAATGGGCATAGAATGAGGGGAATGAAGCAGATGAAAGGAATGAAACAAAAAGGAGAAGACCAGAGAGGAAAAACTTGACGGGAATGGAAGAAACTGAAGGTATTGGGCAAGGCTGCCCTATAGCAGGAAAGACCACTGTTGAACAGCTAGGTAAAAAATTCAGATAAATGAGAAACAGTAGTATGGGAAGGGAAGTAACCATGGCACAGAAACCACCAGCAAAAAATATACCATTTTCTCTGATACACCAATAACGATGAAGGATGGATGGAATGGGAAAGAATGAAAGCTACTCATGTGGAGAGCCCTGACTGCCTTGCAAGGACAAATGCCATGTATGAAGCTAGAGTGTGTGGACATTGGGATGATACACTGGTGACTGAGATTGTTGAAGGAAGGAGGGGATAACAGAAATGGTAATGGAGGTGCTGAATAAAGGAAGGTAAGAGCAGGAAACCAAGGTTGAACAGACCAAAAAGGTGCAATGAGAAGGACCTAAGATGACAGTGGCCTTGTTTATGGATAAAAATTGGGGAAGGAGATGGATAGACAGATAAGCATACAGGTAAGGTGGGGCCAATCTTGACTGAATGCATCCACCACCAAAACAAAACAATGTAGGATGAGAAGCCAAAAAAAGGGAAATTTGGCCCTGAGAGGGATGGCAAATGTGTCCAGAAGAGGAGTACCCCACTGATCTCACAACCACCAAAACACCTGAGGATCGAGGGACCACTCCATGGGGAGAACCTTGTTGGAAAAAGACAATTATCTGCAACAAGAGCACTCAGAACATGACATGCCAGTAGGTACATATGATGTGAAGGGGCCCAGAAGAAGATTTCTAATGTCCAGAAACAAAGTGAACATGAATAGATTCCACCTTGTCGACTGATACGTGACAATGGATCATGACCACTTTGTCCCACATTAAAGGCAGGAAATGATCTAGAGCCTGACAAATGGCAAGAAGCTTCACAGCCACCTCGAACAAGACCAATGACCCACAACTTCTTGTATATCCAAACATACTCCCTAACTCACCAGAGAAACATCCATAAAAAAATGGAACTCCAGACAGAGAGGTGGGAGAGGAACACCTTTCATGGTGTTGTCTCTGTGGGCCCCACCAGGTGAAATTGATATGTATGGAGGGAGGAAGGAAAACAGAGTGCAGAGGATCCCAAGCAAGATTCCACTAATTGTGCAACACCCACTGAAGAGTGCACATATGAGCATGACTTAAGGGAATAAGGGCTTTCATGGAAGCCCACGTCCCCAAAAGAAAATGAAATTTGCATGCAGTAAGAAAAGGAGATGATTGAGCCTTGAGAATTAATAGGTCCATTACCCACAAATGAAGTGGAGAAGGCTGGGCCTAACTAAGACAGCAATTGAAAACACCCCCAACTGGATAAGGTATTGGGTCAGAAAAAGAAAGGAGTTCTCCAACTTGACATGCCAACCTCTTCAAGCCACTTCTCAAAGAAGCAACCAAGTGTGCTTGTGATATGTCTGATGGGATGGAGCTAATAGCAGCCAGTCATCCATGTAATGGTGGAACTGCATACTGTGTGAATAAATAAGTTGATAAAAGGACCCGACCATCTTACATAATACATAGGGTGTGAATGCCAGACCAAACGGCAAAGAAAAGAATTGATAAACTCGATCCTTATGGACAAAATGAAGCTAATGTCTGGATGTTGGGAAAATAGAGATGTGAAGCTATGTGCCCATGATGTCCACTTTCATCATCCAAAGACCCAGAGTGAATACCCAACGAAGGTTGAAAAAGGAATTCATGGTGAAATGAGGAAGGTTGAGTCTGGAAAGATCTACAACAGGTCTTTCCTGGTCTTCTTGGGAAAACAACCTGGAACAGAATCCTGGAGAAGGATAACTGACAAGGTTAAGGGTTTTGGTGAGTTATATTCAAAATTTAATTAACCTACTTTTTGTTTGTTCATGTTAGTGTACTACTACAATTAGTATAAAAAAATGTAGGGTTAAGTGACACTGACAGTTGACAGCAAAAAAACAAAAACAAAAGAAAGCCCAGGTAAGTACTTTATTTTTGTTTTATGTGTATTCTTTATTTATTATTATTATAAAAGTAACTAAAATGTAAAAATATGAAACTTTTTACATTAGTTTATGCTAGATTAGGTAAAGTAAATAACAATAATATTTTTCACGAGGCACACATGATGCGAGCATCTTGGAATAGTTCGCTAGTGTAGCATGATCTGCATGTTCCCAAAGTGATTTACAGGATTGCATAGCAAATGAAGGTGGTGGGAAAAGACGTAAATTGTCATCTTCTTGTCCAGATTCACCAGGAAATAGAATAACTGGTCTGGGCTAAGAAGACACTAATTCATTTGACGTCCTAAAAACCAAGACCTCCTCAGCCAAAAGTGTGGGGCCTGAAGCCTAAGAAACTGCAGGTTGAGGTGCAGTAGTATTGTTAACTATTGTACTAGTAGCCATGACTTGAAATTTGGAATTCATAACTCAACTGTGAGTGGATAATAAAACAAACAACCTACAGTAACTGAAGTTTAACTGTAGAAAAAACAAAAAGCAGAAACAACAAAGTTGTAGAGAAAAAAAAAAATCTGAATAATTGAAATGAAATACGAATGAAATTTGATCACGCCTTCACAATAATGTGTCAAATTGAGAAGTGAAGATTGAGTTCTGAAGTATAGAGGGAGTCAGCTGTGCCAGGTGAGTCTATTACACTCCTGTTGGTGGAAAGTTGTCACATGTTTATTTGTATGCTACAGTGCAACTGTACCATGTTAAACATATGGGATAGGTGGAAGTATTAAAGCTAGTGGTGAACAAAACATTTTGTACATATAGAGGGCAGCGCTGAACAAGTTGAGGTATCGCATCAGAACAAACATGGACACATTCCCATGACTAAAAGTTTAACCAAATGACAAATGTATATTTAAACATTTGTTTCTCAATTATTTGTATCACTAAAGCAGTGGAAAAAACAGCACACAATCAATAATTGTAAATAGATTCATTTTCATAAAAACAAATAGTAATTAACCTTAACTCTGAATTCAAGTATTTTCTAATTTTCATAGAATGAAAAATTTTCACAATTAAGAAGAGTGATATTTATACCCATTTTGAGGTTAAATATAGAAAGTGTTTTTCAATGTTATTATAAGTTGAAATATTGGACAAATGACATCCAACTCAAGTGCAATATGCACAACTGAAGAAAACTGCTATAAAGTAGATTAAGTGAAATTACTCAGCAGAAATGTTTGTGAAAATACATACCTGGATAATTAGTGGTCCTCGGGTCTAAATAATCAATATCAACGTACAGGTACAGATATAAAATAACTGAATCTACAGTTTACCTAAAAAATAAAAATATTTCTTGCATCACCATACACTGTACATAGATAAAAAATTAAAGTGTTTTTCTTTTCTTTTGAAATCAACTAAAACTCTAAACTCTAAAAGTTCAAAGTGAATTTCCAGTACACCAGAATGTTTCTTGAATTAAAATCAAGTGCTCTTTATTATACAAAAATACTATAATAAATAAACAGCTTATAATTTGAAGAAATTAAATTTGAAGATGAGTGAGATTTTGTGTGTTATCTGGAACCATGTGCTGTCTACACTTTATTAAAGCTCGGAACTAAAATAATGCCATTTTTTTTACATGATGTGCAAGATTGAACTGTTAACCAAGTACAAGTAAGGTTTGATCAAAAGTCTGAGACTGTATCCATATATACAATTTTCTAAGTAAGTACCTAACATAAAAACATTTTTCACATAAAAATTTAGACCTTATTATACCTCAGTTTCATAGTTTGTAATTGATAATAAGAATTAACTTTTTGTTAAGAGAGACACTTGCTTAACCTAAGTAAAAACTTGCTGAAAATTTATTTTAATTTTTTTTCTCTCTTTATCCCAGTATTGTTCTCAACAAATTAAATTTTTAGAGAAAATTTACAGTTATTATAAAAGGATTTAGCTTCTTTCCTGACAATGCTTCAATCTTCGAATCAAACTATTTAAAATTGACAGTAAAAAATCTATCTTATGATAAATTAGTTTTACCCAAGCATATACACACACACACATCCTCAGTGAAATTAGGTCTTAACTGAAAAGTCATATGTATACATTAAGTTCTTTAAAAATATTTATATAAAAAAAACGAATTCTGTGCCATAAAATTATTCCTTATAGAAGCACTATACAACTTTGGGGAAGCTCTGCCAAAAAAATGCATGTTACATAATCAAACTGGTTATTGATATATTTCTTTTTAATGCAATCAAGACCTGCCTATAAAAACAAACCACAAAAAACAAAAACTTTACTTGTTACTGGGGATTTTTTAAAATCATACCTTATTCATATTTCAATCATCTTTAGTGACTACCTAGTACTTATTTTTCATATTTAAAAAAAAACAACTTGAATTACAGTGTATACTAAAAAACAGAACACAGAGAAAGCTAGAAATGAAACAGACTGTTACATATTACAATTTTGAATAGCCTGAATAAAAAATATTGAATCCTCTATGTGGTCTGGAACTTCCTTGATATCTTATTGAGGGTTCATGATAAGTGAATTAATTTTGAGTTGATGTAGATACAATTCACTTAACAGCTAGCTCTGTTCATCATTCTTTGCCAGTCACACATGCCGAATTATCCACCTCTGAAGTTATATAATGTTTTTGTAAAAATACTAATGACTGACGTGAATTCGCTGATGTTAAATGGTTTGTAATATTCAAAATCTATAAACGTTCCTGGTCAAATATTTGAAGTTCTGAATTAATAAGCATTATAACAATCACAGTTATACCTTCCGAGGTTTACAGCAAACCAATAATATATATACTGTCTTTTGGCACATCGTGTTGGTTATATTTTTAGGCATGAGGAGAGTTTCTTGAGATTTCAGCTTAAGTAACAATATAAACGATACACCAGTGTTTACATACATATTTAACAGTACAAGTCATGTACATTGCTAAATATAAATTTAACTTAAACAAACACTGATATCAAAAGAGATATATGATGGTAAATCCATCACACAGAGAATTACCTATTAGTGAACACACAGAAAACTGGTAATGAAACAAATACATATAAATCAATACACTAAAACAGACACAAATACACAGTATTTTAGAGATCCTGCTTAGAAACCACAAGTAAATATACTGTTAAGTGAACAAACTTTTAATATCTTTATTCTCTCCAGAAATTGGTGAAGACAAATACAAAATTTGTTCAAGCAAATTGCTAATGGATACCAAGTAATTTCTTATTTACTTAATGACAGTTTTGCTACCTCATTCTAGAGAAACAGCTAATATAGCCAGTGTTGAGAGAAAAGGCTACTTAACAGTGGTTTCTAGCCTGTGGTATTTGTACACCTGGAGGTATGTGGAAAGCCTTCCCTTTCCCAGTTTGGTTATTAAAATATTTGACCTAAATCTGTGGCTATAAATTACAAATAGCTTTGGTGAGCACTGCTTAATAGCTGCAGTATACAAGAAATTAAATATTTAAAAAACCACAAGTGTTGTTGGGTTATTTCTAATCATGACATTAACCTCTCACATGCACTGAATCATTTGAATCAGATCAACAAATTAGGTCCTGCAAATAAAAGTTAGTACCAAGTATTGTGTGTTAAACATGATTTCATTCTATGAAACCATATACTTCTGATGCAGACACATGAACAGGAAATCTCTGAGTAATGTCTATGCTAAGGAAGTAATGTTGCATATCCTCTTTGATAAGCTTCTGTTCAAAACTGGCAGAAATGTTTCAAGTCTTAGAAACATAGCAATTTTTTCTACTTCAATATTTCATATTCCACTACTAACAGTATTCACAACAGTTTTAAAACACTCCCCAGCAAATGAGGAACAAAGAACAAAAACATTTTCCTGATTAAAAATTATATATAAAATGTATTTTCAGGTCCAATATTGTTTCTTAAACCATAATGTATCTAAATTTGGAAGTAAAAATACATTATTGTACATTTAAAAGCAAAATTTTTGACATTATTACACTCATCAACAGTTACACACAGTGAAAATTAAGATTTGAGGAAATTTTTCAACAACCAGTAGCAGTTATGTAGTCAGTGCTCTTACTAAAAGTAATTTGTATCTCAAGTAACAGAATTAGTGGTTAAGAAAGATTTACTCCTCATCACGATACTTAGTTTTCCTTTCATGATTAATTTTCTGTACACACTTTAATGATAACCTCACTAAAACTTATTTGTATACCTCTTTAAGTCACAGTGGCTACAGTCATGCATGCACACTTAAAGTAGTCATATCACAAGTACTTTTACTTAAAATGCTTTTTTCTTTAAGAAGTCAATCACACTGGACATGGCTATACATATGTGTATAATGGTAATAAGTTATTTATTCTTAAGCAAAAATAAAGCTGTTTTATTGCATCGTGTAAATACATTTAATATACAGCATTAGAAGTAATTATGGAAACAGTAAGTAAGATGGGTATAAAATACAAGTAAAATATAAAAAACTAGGGTTAGCTTTCATCAAGACAGAGCAAAACAAAGTACAAGATCCACACATAAGTGCAATATTTTTGTTTTTTTTATTGTATATTTCTTATTTATTGTTATAAGAGTAATCAAAATGTATAAATTATGAACTTATGTTATACAAGAAGAGTTAAATAAAAAATTCCTGAGAGCAAGAATACATTTTGAGGATGCAGCATGTAATCTGACTGAGAATGATAGTAATTCAATGCTGTGTTTACACAAAGCTTCGAAACTGTAATAATTACTTTGGCACTACTAATCTAAGCAGTAGTAAAGCAATAAAAAAATCTAAACAACCAGGAGATTTGAGTTTTATCTGATTTGGCTCTAAGAATAGTATGTAATTGTCTGTAACAATATGCATTCATTTTGGAAAAAAAAAGGATAATATTTATTTCATAATTTTTCTGATGGTTATAAGGTCAGTCAAATGGACCAAGCCTGTATACATTGTTAGGTAGAGAAAAATAACAGATAAAATATATTGAAATTTTGATATTCATATTTAGGTGGTTCTAGAAGTTATGCAAATTAAATATGAAAATTGTAAAATGAAAAAGTATCTAAGTATTTTTTAATAAAGACCTGTCTGAATTTATGGATTCTAAGTCTGACTCCTGTTCTTGAGGGCAAGATGAGTATCATATTAAGATTAAATTAATTAGAAATTAATTTTTTTGTGTACAAAAGACTTGTACTAAAAGCTTGCCAAATTTCATGATTTGTTTGTTTTGTTTGGAAGTTTATGCAAAGCTACATGACAGATCTGCACTAACTGTTCCTAATTTAGCAGTGAAATACTAGAGGGAAGGCGCTAGTCATCACCACCACCACCAACTCTTAGACTACTCTTTTACTAATGACTAGTGGGATAGACTGTCACATTATGATGCACCTATGTCTGAAAGGGCGAGCATGTTTGGTGTGATGGGGTTTCGAGTGCCCTAACTGCCTAGCTATGTAAATTTCATGAAAATACATTTACAAGTTATAGTATGTATAGTTTCAAGGTTACATGTTTGAAAGGTTGATAAAATGACCAAGCCTGTATATGGAGTATTAATTGCAATTACAATTATATTGATTAATGTCATGAAAACAATCAACTAATCAAAATTATTGTTCATGATTATTACTATTTTTAATTATTCCAACTATTCAAGTCTCATTAGAGAATGATTGGTTAGTTGAATGTAGTTGATTAGTGAGACCAATGACTGATCATCATATTACCCAACTCTGTGATATACAACAATCAAGTAGTGATTTTTACCAATGACTTAGCTGCAAGTACAAGCTTGAATGCAACTTCTAAAACAATAAGATACACGTTAATATGAAGTGGCATTAATGGATGTATAGCTGTTCGAGAACCACTTTTTAGGAGAAAGAACCAAACTAAAATGTTGAAATAAGAATCACACTTCAAGCAAAGGGATGAGTAAAGCTGGAAGAAGGTGCACTTTATAGACAATTCCAAATGGAAATGTTTTGGCAAGAGCCAATAATGCTAGTTTATTTGATGACAGAGAGGATAATGGTATTAAAGGCAACGTACAAGAACTTACAATGAAGCATGCTGGGAGCTAATAAAAGTTAACATTTTCCTTATACCAAAAATGAATTTCTGATAGGCACTTACATTTTCTGCCCTCTAAGCATTGCAAAAAATTTCATGATCAGCACACCAGTCTTTATATTCCCTCAATTTCACTCTATTTTTGAACATGTACATATCATGTGACTACTCTCCACCAAAAGTATTGCACCACCT